GGGCACTGGGTTCGATCCTCAGTACCACAGAAAATAAAATAAAGATATTGTGTCCTCCTAAAACTAAAAAATAAATATTAAAAGAAAGCAGAGATTCCAAGCTTTATCCTACTTGTAGTTACTCTTTGGACATTGAAAGTCCAAAGAGTGAAGAGTCAGTGCTTTTATCAAAAGTGGCTTCTAACTCTGTTACCCACACACATCTTTTTATGAATGCATTCTTTCATTTCTCCTGGGTGAATATCTAGGTGTAGGATAGTGAATAATATGGTATTTCCATGCTTATGTTTTTGAGAGAAATTGCCAAACTGTTTTCCAAAGTAGTCATATCATTTTAGTCTAATGTGAGAATTCTGGTCACTCTGTATTTTTACCATGAGTTGGTATTGTCTTTTTAATTTGACCTATTTTAATAAGTACCATGTGGATGTGTCTTACTGTAGCATTAATCTGCATTTGCTTATTGACTTAAGTGTGTTTTTATGTGCTTAATGACCACCCATATATCATCTTTTAAGATTTATACGTCTATTTAGCTGGGCACAGTGGTGCTCGCCTATAATCCCAGTGGCTCGGGAGGCAGGGGAATTTTGAGTTCAAAGCCAGCCTCAGCAAAAGCAACTCAGTGAGACCCTGTTTCTAAATAAAACACAAAATAGGGCTGAGGATATGGCCCAGAAGTCAAGTGCCCCTGAGTTCAAGCCTGGTTTCCCCGTTCCCAAAATTTATTTATGTAAATAAATGTTTATTTAAATAATTTACCTAATTTCTAATTAGATTTGTTACTACAAAATGGTAAGTTTGCTTTGTACATGTAGATATGAGCTCATTGTCAGATATCTGTATTGTGAAATGTTTCTCCATCGTAGGTTTATTCAATACATTTTTACCACTCTACACAACAAAGTATAAACCCAATCTTATCTAAAATGCAGCAAAGTTACAAAACTCAAAATAAATTTTATAGTACTGACTGTATAATAAGAGAGAGAGAAAAAACACAATGTATACGTGGCCAAGGTATCCTGCAGGACCACCTTGAGTGGCAGTCAGAACAGGGGGCTCTGTAATAACCTCACGGAGCTGGCTCTCACCTTGCTCAGCAATCTCAGAGAGTAAGGGATATGTGGGGCCGTGGGCTGTGGGAGGACATGGAAAGACAGAACCATTTATAGCAACTAACAGGTGGGGGGCCACCCAGAGGCTGGAAGAGAGCTCCAGCAGGAGTGAAAAAGGCCAGGCCTAATAGGAGTAGCGGCTTGGTCCCTTTTCCTGGGGAGGTAGCATAGTAACAGCAAGGGCACAACGGGTTTGCCAGACTGGCTCAGGTCTTCTGTGAAGAGAGGGGGCCACACTGCCACCTGGAAGCTTGCTGGTCCCTGCAGGCTCTGCCACTGAACAGACTTTGGAACAGGCATGGGTGAGATTTCTAGCCAGAAAACTGCAGGCCCCTCCATGGGCACAGCCCTGATCCATCAGCACTTCTGCAGCCAGAACCTGCCTGCAGAGGAAAGGCCTCACTGCTGCCTTTGACGCCTGCCCCAGTGCGGGGGGCTTTCCTGCTGACCCTCCTGTGGCTAGAAAAGTAACACAACTGAGCTGGGTGGAACAGGTATAGAGGAGCTCCCGAGGCCCTGTGTATTGGGAGGAGTTGGAACTGGAGCGGCTTCTGTGGCGGTGGCGGTGGCGGCCAGGAAAGCACGACCACCTGCGCACGGGGACCTGACCCACCCCGCTTCTGTGGGGGGAGGGGCAGCATTCTCCCGGGGGGGTGGGGGGGGAGGGCTGAATCCTTGGGAGGCGGGGTGGCCTAGGCCAGGGGGCCAGCACAGCGGTAGCAGTGGTCTCCTGGTCATCGATTTGTCCTCCATGCGCGCCCTTCACTGCCTTCTCAGCTCCCCTGGATTCTGCAGCTCCCCAGATGCGTAGCCTTCGGAGAGACGAGGACGCAGCCTTTCTACAGGCACGTCGATCATTTTGACTTTCTCCATAAGGGGACAATACCTCCATGATGTGATCCTGGTCACCTTGCCGATGAGCCTTTCAGGGTGCACTTTGGTGGGCTTCGGGGAAGGGCTCCGCGTTTTCCCTTCCTTTTCATCTCTTCTGCGAGGTTTGGATTGGGAGCCGGAGCGCCGCCTGCTGTCCTGTCTGCGACGACAATGGCTGGGAGACCCGGAGGAGCGGGGGACTGATGTCCTGGCTTCCCCAGGGAGCCAGCCCTGCCTGAGCCTGTGCTGGCGCTGGATCCCGAGCTGAGGTGCAGCTGGACCGAGACCTGGTGCTGCTGCCTCCGTGGCAAGCCCTGCGTCTCTCCCGAGCCTTACCCCGGCCTTGGTCCTTCTGGCTGGCTCCTTGACTTCCCATCAGAGCGGTCGGTCCATGCGTTTGGTAGGAGAAGGGGCCCTAGCACTGGACTTTCTACTGTTTTCCTTGACTCTAGCAAGCTCTTCTTTTTCACTCCTGATAAATCCATTCTCCCCTTGAGGTGCTCAAAGCGGCAATGGCGGCCTCGCTTATCTAAATTCTCACTTCTAACGTGAGTCTGAGAAATGATCCCTAATCGATTGCAATTTCAGCCAAACAGAAGCATCTTCCCGCAGCGCCACTCCTCCTGCTCTCCTTAGCTGCTCCCTAGTAGTGCCTTTTAAAAAGAAATTGTTTTAATTCATTTGGTTTTCTCTAATGGTTAACATTTTTTTTTCTGTTTCATTAAAAAAAAAAATCACTGCTTACCTCAACAGACTCGTGAGGACTTTTTCCTGTTTCATTTTGAGAACTTCATAGTTGTAGATTAGATTATAGTCCTAGATTAAATTTAGGCCTGTCATACTTTTGAACTAATTTTTGTGGGTTCTGTCAGGTTCCTGGGGATGCTGTAACACATGACCACAAAGAAGAGGGCTCCTAACAACAGACACTTACACCCTGGCAGTTCCAGAGGCCCAAAGCCTGAATCAAGGTGTTGTCCTCAGTCCTCCTGACCTCTCCAGCTCCTGGGGGGCAGGAGTTCTCCAACTTGTGGCAACACAACTACAGGCTTCACTCTCTTCTTTCCACTGCTTTCTCTGAGTTTCTCCTCTCTTGTCTGTGTCTCCTCCTCACCTTGTAAAGACCTTGGATAGATGATCTCATTTGAAAGTCCTGATTTTATTACCTCTGCAAAGACCCTTTATCTGAGCACAAGGTCTCTTTTGCTAGTACTGGAGCCCATGACTTAGATGTCTGTCTTGGGGGATCACAATCCAACCTCCTACATACATGATGGGAGAGGAAGTTTGTAGGTCGTTATTTTTATATTTGGATTGTCAGTTATTCTATTGTTGTCTGTTCAAAAACCATTCATTCCCCATTAAATCATCTCAGAATCTTTTTGGAAAATCAGATGACCATTTGTCTGTGGATCTGTTTCTGAGTTACCTCTTCAGTTCCACTGGTCTGTCTGCCAACCTCCATGCTAATACCCCACTACCCTGATTACTGTAGCTTTAATTACCCTTTCATCCCTGAGATCAGGTAATATAAATCCTTAGTTCTACAAAAATCATTTTGGCTATTCTAGGTCATTTGAATTCCCATATGCATTTTACAATCAGTTTGTTAATTTTTACCAAGAAAAAAAGCCTGCTGGGATTTTGATCAAGATTGTATTAGATTTATAAGCTAATTTCGGTTAAAAAAAAAGACATAACATTGAATATATAATTTGTCTCTAGTTAGTGGAATCTGCTTTCTATTCATAATGTGAGCTGCTTCCCTCTGCTACACTCTTCCACCATGATGTTCTCCCTTAACTCAAGCCCCAAGGAATGGAGCCAGCTGTCTTTGGGTTGAGACATCTGAAACTGTGAGCCCTCAACTAAAGATTTTCCTTCTCTAAAGTTGTTCTTGTCAGGTCTTTCAGTCACCACAGTGAAAAAAAAGCTGACTAAAACAGGAAGTTAATCAGCACAGCTTTGGGTTTGCACATTCCTGCATGTATGTTGAAATCCTGACTTAAATCCCATGGCTGACCAGCAGGCATAGCATGCCCTGTTTATGTGAAAATTCTCTGGACTATTAATACCAACCAATCCAGAAGCAATTAGCACTTCTCCTTCTGCTCTGACCGCTTATCCCAAAGCTTTCTGTGATTTGCATTATCCCACCTCCTAATCTACAGCCAATGGAGGTTCAAGGTGAACAATTTGTTTTCCTTCCCCAAAGTTGCATAATAAACACACACTTGGCTCTTTGGTCTAGTGGACATTGCTGAAATTGCAATACGGCCTTGCTGATGTGGACCTTGTGCCAGGATCTGGTCCTTTTTCTTGATAGCCTCTGTAATGGCTCTCTAATGGCCCTTTTCCTTAATATATCCTTTATCTCATGAATTTTAGTTTAACAGTAACTATTGACAGATCTTTTTCCCCCTGCATGTAAGAAATTAATGATATGAAGATTGAATAAAATTAACCAATAGGCTGTTGATGTAGGGCAAGGGTTCAGTTGTAGAATATTCTGGCTGCAGATAGGGCAGTGTAGTGTCCAAGTCTGTGTCCAGGGGAGGGCAAGGAAGGGCTGCATCCTGGCTGGTTGTGTAACCCCAGGTGGGTGCTTCTTGGAGAACAGGGTCTCTAGGCAGTAGAAAGGCTGCTAGAGGCTGAGAGGTAGTGAGAGTTTCCTCATGTCCACTGGTTAGCATGAGAAGGAGCTGGTCAGTGGGTTGATGGGACATGAGTTAAGTGAGTTTGAGAGGATGAGCGGACTTGGTACTTCACACAGAAGCTGGAAGACCAGGTCCCCGTGGATCCTGGGGGTCTCCAGAAAAGAGATGTCTCCCACATAGAGGGACTGTGGGTAGACTTTCTGTCAATCATCCCCTCTCAACCTATGGTGATGAATCCTGGCTATGGGTGCCCTCTATTGGAACTTACCAATGACATTGCCTAGTTAAAGCCAAGAAACTTTCTCAGAGTTGGCATGTGGCTTCAGAAGGTACTTATCAAGGAACTGCAGCCTTAAGGTGCTAGAATCACAATGCAGGGCCAGGGAGCAAGGAGGACATGATGGTACCCACAGTCTTGATCCTTGCATAGCACTTCATCTGCCAGTTGGCTGGTAAAACCAATGGTAAACTAATCACACCCACAAGAAATCAGACATTGCTGACAAGACGTCTGAAATACAGATTTATAACCCACCAGGAACAATGCACCTTGCCCTAATATGGAGATATCCCAAGACATATTACAAGAGCCATAGGGGCCAAGAGCATGGTATTGGCCTTAACACAGATACACAGACCCATGAGACGGAATAGAGAAACCAGAAATAAACCCATGCATCTATAGCCAACTTCTTCTCAACAAAGGTGCCAAACACATACCTTGGAGAAAGGACAGTCTCTTCAACAAACAGTGCTAAAAAAAAACAAAACTGGATAATCACATGCAGAATATTGAAGTTTGACCTCTATTTCTTACCCTGTACAAAAATAAACTCAAAATTCATCAAAGACTTTATGTAAGACCTAAAACTCTGAAACTGCTAGGGGAAAATGTTGTGGAAAGTCTAAAATTTTGCCACTGTCAGAAATTTCCTGGTTAGGACCTCAAAAGCATAGGCAACAACAACAACACAATAAAAAAGGTGAAAAAAATGACAAATGGGATTACTTTACACTGAGAAACTGCACAGCAAAGGAGGCAATCAACAGAGTGAAGATAACCATCAGAGAGGGAGAAAAATCTTTGCCAGCGAATGACATTCAGAATATATCAAGAACTCAAAACAACTTAACAAAAATAAACCAGTAAAAATGGTAAATGGTCTGAATAGACACTTCTTTGAAGAAATACAAATGGCCAATAAATATATGAGAAAATAAATGCTCAGTATCTTTCACTATCAGGAAAATGCAAATCAAAATTATGAGATTTCATTTTATCCAGGCTAGAATATTATAACAAAATTAACAAATACTGACTAAAATATGGAGAAAAAGTAATGTTTATATACCTTTTGTGGGAATGTAATTTATATACCCACTTTGGAAACAGCTTGGAGGCTTGTTGAAAACTTGAAAATAGAACTTTCATATGACTCAGCTATCCCAAAATTGTGTATTTATCTAAAGGAAATTAAGTCAGTATATAAAGATATCTGGATATCTATGATTATTGTGGCACTGTTCACAATAGCTGTGATAAAGAATCAACTTAGGTGTCCATCATCAGGGAAATGGATTAAAAATTGGCTACATATATGTGTGTGTATATGTGCAGGTACGTATGTATACATGTACACATGTATAGGTGTATGTGTATGAATAATTGTATATACATACATATTTTATATAGTGTATGTATGCATATAATATATACATATGATGGACTATTATTTAATCATAAAGAAGAATGAAATTCTGTCATTTGCAGCAAAAAAAAGTATTGAAAGTAGAAAAGGGATTGCTAGGGATTGGAAAAGATGCTGGGGGAGGTGGTTTGAGGGTAATGCATGCATGTGTGAAAATATCACAGTGATTCTATTTCTTTGTACAATTATTATGTGATAATAATTATAGTAAAAATAAATATTTAAAATCTGCATGCTGATGCGCCAGCTTGTCCACCAGGATCTGTCCAACAGCTGTCACGATGTTCTGGGCCTCAGCCGTTTCATCATCCACTGGCACTCTGCTTGAGACTGATCTCTGGATCTTGGTAGTGGCTGGCAGGGGTTTGACTTTTTGCAAGGAATCTCCCTGCCCTCTGCCTTTCTTATTGGGGTGCAGAGACTGCGAAACGCGATTCTTCCTTCTCTCAGTACAGCTTTCTGGAGGATCTGACGTTTCTCTGGCAGGGAGGGGAGGGACTTCCCTCTCAGGAGGCTCCTCCTTCTCCACCTCTGTCTTTCTGGTCTCTTCAGATCTTGAAGACTGGGACTGTTCTTTGCCTTCCGGCATTGCCATTCCTGAGGCCACAACTCCACTCTCCTCCCATGGCTCATACCTGGCCTCTCTCAAGCCTGGACTGGGCTCGAGGCTGCCTCTTGCCATTCCTGTGATAATCCTGCTGGGCTGGGTGCTGCCTGAGAGACTGTAAGTGTGAGGTTGAGAAGGCAGGGGGTCCCCCTGGGTAGCTGGAGGGACCACTGAGGGCTCATGGCTGCCGCCCAGTGGGGTTCCTCTCCAGGCCTTCTGCATCTCTGCAGGTGAGGGCTCAGGGAGGGGACTCTGCAGGGTGGGGACTGCCTTTTTTTTCATTGCCTTCTCTCCTGGACCTTTCCAAGGAAGTCCTTCTGGGAACCTGGCAGCCTGGGCAGTGGAGTCGTCTGCGGAGTCACGGGGGACCAAGGGAAGGTCTGGCTGTGAAACGGGTGAGGCTGGTTTCTCATCAAAGTCTTGACTCAGGGGATCTAGGGTCTGGAGGTGTGGACTCCACCTGTGTCGCACTCGAGACCTCATGATATCTGTTTCTAGCATCAGGTGAGTTCCTGGATCCAGGAAGGAAAGATTCTGGGAGGTGTTCACCCGAGACAGCTGGTCCTTGGAGGATGCTAGATTGATACTGTTTTTGTTGGTGCTGTACTTGGGAGAAGCGTAGTTGGAAGCAAGCCAGGATCCACGCACGTACACGGGGATTATGCCCTCATTGATCTGTACCAACTTTCTGCTCAGATGGTCTTGCAGGATTTTTTCCAGAAGTTTCTTACTTCCTGAATCCTCCTTTTCATTTTCCAGAACCTTTACTGAGGTGCCTCTTGAATTCCAGGGTAGATCTTGTGGGTGCCTCTCTAGGTCTTGCTCTGGGCCCTTGAGGAATCTTTCAGAGCACCTGGACCTCACCTTCTGCACACCTTTGCTGCTTTCACAAGCAAGTTCCGGGGGCCGGGCAGCCAGGAAGGGGCCATGCTTATCTTTAGCCTGGCACCCAGAACACTTCCTTGGGAATTTGCCCCGAGGCTGTGTCAAGTCCTGGGATGCTTGAAGTCTGCAGGGAGGGCCATGCTGGTGTGCATCTGTGGTGAACCTCCCTAGACTGTGTTTCTCTGGTCGCTCTTGGAGCTTGGTGCTGTTAGAATCCCTGGGAAGGATGGAGGTTGACTTGGGGGTCAGGGAGGGGTGACTGTGCTGACGGTGGTTGAGAGCTAATTGGCTGTTGGCTTCCTGAGATTTTTGGAGTGAAGAGGGTAAATCCTCCTTCCGTTTATGTTGCTTCTGCAAGTGCCGTTCCACGTGCTGATTTTCAGCTGCGCTGAAAAGCCATACCTCCTCCTGGGATGTAGGGCAGATTGTTCTCTGGGTCCTCTTCTGGGGTGGAGAAGAAGGTGGTAGGTTTGGGGGAAAGGATGTGAGGTGGGTGTGGTTCTGGGCCTGAGCCTCAGATGGGGGCAGTGTTTGTGTTAAAAATTGAGATTGGGCCACATAGCTGGGCAAGGGCTGGTCCTGGGAAAGTTGTGGAGGTACTTCAGCCAGAGATGGAACTGGGGAAGAGTCAGAGACTTTGTTAAATGTAACATCTTTACATCGTGCAGCGGAGGACCTCTTAGGCACCTGGGCAGTAGCCACCAGGGACTCACTGTGCAGAGAGGGCGGGCCCCAGAACAGCTGGCTGCGTTTGTGCTCTCAGGAGTCCCCCGGGGCCTGGTGGTAAGAGACCTGCTGGGAGTCGGGGAGCTGCTCTGGTTTCCCTTTTGTGCTGCAGAAGGGGTGTGCAGTGGTGTCCCTCTTGCCCCCCAGTGACTTCAGCATTTTCCCCAGAGAAGGCAGGCAGTGGTCTGGGCTCATTGGTTTGAAAGAGGACCCATCCTTAGTGTTCTCCTTCCACACTTTTAGTTCTGCTCTTTTGCTGATGAGCATCTCCAGCAGTTTCTGGACATCAGGGTTGATGAAAGAGAGGCCCCCAACCTCTACTTGCTGGTGTGTGGGGTCTCCCCAGAGTGTGGAGTCTCGAGGATGGTGTGAAAGATGTATGTCTTTCTGGGATCTGGCGTGTGTCCAGGTGGAGAAGAATAAGGCCTTGGTAGTTGTCCACCACCAGGAGAAAAACAGAATGCAGTAGCTTATGCAGTCAAGTCCTGAGATGGCTGTGACCAGGGATGCCCAGTAGGAGCTACCTGAGAGGGAGCCCTGTGGGATGGGGCCCAGAGGGACTCTGTTCAAGCCAGGCTGGTGGTCTCTAGCTTCATCGGATAGGGATGATGCCAGAGGTAGAGGGTGCTTGGTCAGGGGAAGCATGGAGGTCAACAGGGACATGGAAGTAGAAGAAGAATGTTCCACATTCTGCAGAGGTGGCTGGTGGGCTCCAGCAGGCCCTGGTTTGAATACCTCACCCGGGGCATCTTCGTGTAACAGCTGAAGAAATGTAATGTTTTCATGGAACTTTCGTAGGTGGCTGCGGGGAACAGAAGGCACAAGCTGCAGTGACGAGTAGGAGGGACCAAGAGGCTGTCCAGGCATGGGCACCTGTGGCCCATGGACCGTCCACTGCCCCACATACTAGCTTCACAAAGTCCTGGCTATCCCTCTTCCCAGGGCTTGAGTTACAGCCCACTCCAACCTGGAATCTCCCTTCTAGGTGAGCCCTGGGCCCCGGGGTCACGTTACAGGACTTGGTGGGAGGAAGGATGCAGAGAGAAGTGGAAAGTTCCTTACCTTTGCAGAATTAAAGCCAGTTGTTGTGTTTCCTCCACTTTCTTCCGGCAATCTCTACAAGCTGGAATGGGAGAATGAATTATGGTGGAGAAGGAAGGGGCCTGGGATTTTTCAGGAAGCTGAGTTGAATATCCTTTAGGAGCGATTGTGGGCGATGAGACTCTGGAGCCCAAGCATCAGTGTCCAAAGCCATGCAACCAGTGAGTGACAGCAAAGTACAGGGAGAGGGGGCCACATTTGATTGTAAACAGGTTGCTGCTACATCCATCCATCCCCATGGTCCTCACAGCCACACTGTGGGTTGTCATCTCACAGGGGAATCACCTTAGCAAAATAAAAGACTTCTCCACAGGAGGACCCGGAGGGCCCTCCACAAACTTGGCAGCCTTGCTCCCCTTCTGGCCCGCCACGGCTGCGTTCAGAGCACAGAGCTGGAGAAATCCTGAGTTCTGATTTTCTTCTCAGGACCCTCCCTCTGAGGCTCTCTAACTGATGTCCTCAGAGACAGGAAAAGAGATCAAGTCACCTCTGGAGGAAGGGTGGAGCCTTACCTTTCAGAATGCTTCTCTTCTTCTTGCTTTTCTTCCTACACCTCTTCTCTATCTGATGTTGAGAGACAAGAAAGAAAAAGGGGTTGGTGCCCAATCCTCATTCTCTTCATAGAAAAGCCACAAGCTCACGTTTCTGAGTCACATGCCTCCTACATTTAAATCATGGAAGTCTGTGTCCTTCTCTTTCACTCACTTTTCAAGTAGATAAAATACTAGACTTTGGTTTTCTTCTTGGGAAAACACAAAAGGGGATTTTCTATGTAAGCTCCATCATGGATGTCCTCAGCCACTGAGGGTCTGACAGACTCCTTTCCACAGGCTCTTCTCAGCTGCCAGGCAGGTTGTGCTCCCTGAGGCCAGAGGGGACTCCAGCCTGTGACAGGGGCCCTCAGCACAGCCCTCCCCTCAGCCCAACACCCAGGGATACATTAGTTCAGAGGCATCTGCTAGGAGAAGGTTGCTGATGACTAGTGTTCCTGCCCAGAGGTCCCCAACCTCTCTCAGGAATCCAGTCCTCGACCACAGTGTATGTCTTGCTGTGGGACCTGAAGCTCACCACCCAGATGGTCCGAGGGCTTCAGACAGGAGAAGTCTTAGGGCAGACTCTCTCCTGGCCCTGCCCCACCTGACCCAGAAGAACGACGCTCTATTCTTTCCTGAGATGTCCCACCTCTCCGTACGTTTGATAAGAGGAAAGAAGAGTAGGAAAAAGAGAATCATTGTCTGTTGTGTTTTGATCAAAGGCTCCTTACCTTTTTGATATTCCTGTTTTTCAAAGGCGGCAGCGAGAAGTAAGGGCCTAACAGGATAAAGAGCACCAGTCCCCCCACAAAGGCAAGGATTATTTCCATCACCCAGGTGGTGGAGCTGGGACTCAGCTAAATGGCATTAATTCTTTTCAGAGGAAAGAGAGGACTCATTATCTGAATTGTAAAGTCACTCTCAGGTAGCTGTCCTGAGAGCTCCCTTTGAGAGCAGGGAGTAGGGCTCAGGCCAGCATCACAAGAGCTATGACCCCTCATCACAAAGGGATCTTGAGAGTGGGGGGAGGGTGGTCAGAAGAGGCTGCACTACACCCCTCCTCCACCCTCCTGGGCCTTCTAGATCCTCCCTTCCAATTCCACCTGCTCAACTTGTCAGATGTAGACTTTAGTGCATTTTCTGTTGTTCACCAGGGAACGCAGAAATTACCTGTTTGCTTGCCGATCTCTGCTTGAACATCCTTTTTCATAGTTTGTGAAAATGGGAGTTGTCTCTGGAATTATTATTTCAAAGTGATTATTTCTTTCTCCATTTCTTCTCTCAGCGACTTAAACTCACCCACATTATATGTTCTTGTCTTGCATCATGGAACTGAAATTTATTTTGTACTTATTTAGCTTTGTGAATTTTGAATAAAAAGTTTTTAGAATTTTCCAGTAATTTTACTGTCTTCAGCTAAAGGGTCTTAAACAAAAAAAAATACTTATAAAAATTCATGAATTTGAAATAAGTTTTTCAAAAGCTATTTTTTTTGTATGCTGATTCCTTAGTAAGTAACACTTAAAATGTAGAAGAAATTTTGGAGACTTGTGTACATACCCAAGTGCACATCCACACACCCACACACCCTTTGACAAATCAACCCTATGCTTTCACATCTAAGAATGAAGAATTTCTTGTCACCCAAAAGCCTTCCTTAGTGTTTCTTGTACTGCTGGCAGCAAATTTTCTCAGGCTGAGTTTATCTGGCAGCATATTTTTCTTCGTTATTAAAGGATAGATTTACTAGACATGGACTCTTTGGGTGACTCTCTCCCCACCCCCGCCCCCCACCCCCCGCCTTGAATACGCCACCCACAGCCTCCTTCAATTGTTTCTGATTGGAAGTCAGCTGAAAATCTCATCCTTGTGCACAGGGGAGTTGTTTTTGTTTTTTGTTTTTTAAAAATTTGTTCTTACTTATACGTGACAGAGTATATCTTGACATTTATTTGCTAGAAAAAGGATGAATCTGGAGAATTTTTCCTCTGCGCCCTTTAAGATTTTCTCTTTGCCTTTTCACAGGGTAGAAACTGTGATGTGTCTAGGAATGGATATTTTTTTTGTTATTTTTAAAGAGGGGAAACATTGAACCTAGATTCAGGAAATTTCCAGCCCTTATTTCTACAAGTATTTTTCTTCCCCCTTCTCCTTCCTTCCTTTCCTCCCTCCCTCCCTCCTTCCTTCCTTTCTTTTCTTCCTTCTTAACCACTGAGCCACATCCCCAGTCCTTTTTATTTTGAGACAGGGTCTCAGTATGCTTAGGGTGTCACTAAGTTGCGAGGCTGGCTTTGAACTTGTGATCCTCCTGCCTCAGCCTCCCGAGTTGCTGGGATTCCAGGCCTGATTCACTGCACCTGGCCTCCCTCCTTTCTCTCTGAGTCTCTCCTTCCACACGTGGTGGTAGCCGTGGTGATGGGGACGTCCAGGTCAGGCAGCCCCACTTGCTGGAAGGATCTCTGCTCCGCGCAGCTGTGTTCCCCTCCGCTTCAGTTTGGCTCTACTGATGAGGGTCTGCTTCTGGGCTGTCCATGCTGTTCCACTGACTGTTTTCTGTTCTTTCTCCAATATCCCACTGTCCTGGATGAGTGTTGCTCCACAGTAGGTCTTGAAGTCAGGTATTATCAGCCACTTGTTTATCCCCAGTGTTGTTTTCACTATCCTGGGTTTTTGCCTCTCTTTTACAAACTTTAAAATCAGTATTTCAGGCTCCACAAATTACCTTGCTGGGATTCTGTTGGGATTGCATTCACTCTGTAGAGCTGAGTTGGAAAGAACTGACATCTTAATGATATTCAGTTTTTCTATCCATGTGAACATCAACTGTCTCCTCATTCATTTAATCCTTTGGTTTATTCCGTAACAGTTTATTAGTTCTTTTTCACACAGAGCCCACAAATATTTTGTTAGTTTTTTCTGAGTATTTAAGTGTGGGGAGGCTAATATAGATGATATCATTTTTAAATGATTCTTTTGAGTTCCTTATCTGATATTTCATCCACTTCAGTATTTTTGTCATCATTTACTATTGAAGTATGGCCTTTAGGAGGTGTCATTGTTTTTAAATATTTTTTGTATTCCTGTGTTGTTTTATTTCATCTATTGGAAGGAATTTCTCCTCCACTCTGTGAGGTCCTTTTTAGGGCAGTTTTCATTTCCTAAAGTGTCCTAGAATGACCTGTATTGAGACCCTCTCATAGGTGTGGTGTCCATTTCTCTCTGTTTTTACTATAGCAATGAATGTCCTTAGGTGAGACTGGGGGACCAACCCCAGCAGTTTCTACTTGGGGCTTGGTCATAAGTTTGGGTTTTTGTGTCTTTGAGTCTTTGTATTAAAGTATAGCTGAAGATTGAGTGTCATTAATTGGTGTGTAGAGCAAGGTAAGCTGTCTTTTGGTTTAATTCAGCAGCAGAGTTTCTACCCTGTGAACTTGTAGTGTCTCTGTAGGTTCCCAGAACCTCACAGAATAAGGGGAAACAACAATAGCAACAACCAATGCAAACAATATAAGCATTGGTTTCTAGTATGCCATCTATAATGTTAACTCACCACAATAAACAGAAATGATAGGGTTAGCAATTGCCATCACCAAAAACGATAAGTAACCGTGAACTATATCTGGCATCAAAGCAAACAACAGATGTCAGCTATGTCACCCATAGCAGTAACAATTGCAACAGCATTAATATTGGGGGCAGGACTTATAGAAAAACAATTAGTGCTAAAAGATGGTAAGAAAATAGTTAATTTACAGAAAAGAAAATGTACAGGTAGGAAGGTCAAAAAGAGTTTATAATTTCAAAAAGTAAATAGAATGTAGGATATGATAGTGATAAGAAAGGAGGAGAAAAATGTAAGAAACAAAATACACGGAGAGTGAAAGAGTAATAGAATTTGGCTGTTAGCAGAAGAAAAGAGAGAAAAAGAAACAAGAGAAACACAAATGAAAAACGATACGAAAACAAAAATCAAAATATAGTAATGAAAAACCCTAACCCTGAAAGGCAAGGCAATGGGAAAAAAAGAAACAAATGTATACATATATAGTCTGTGAACCAATTAGCACAGCACACACAGGTGCACCGTGCGCACACACACGCACACACACACACACACACACAGAAGGAAAAAAAAAGATTGTTAACGGAAAACTAAGGAAGCATTTCCATTGAGATGGTCAAAATAGTGCATGAGAGTAGATGGCCATTGTCTGTGCCTGGTTGTCTTTCTTTTCCTGTTTTCTTGAGCTGTGCACTGAGTGTGAGAAGAAGGGCTGAGGGTTGTCAAATCTTTCCTCTTTTTGTGTTGTTCACCAAGCTGCCAGCTGGAGTGACCTAAGTCTGAAGTTGGTCCAAAAATTATCAGCTTCCCTTCTCACCAGTACTAGGCAGGATGGGAAGTGCTGTCTGCTCAGAGCAGATGGAGGGATTCCCAGGCTGGAGCAGCTGCAGAGTTCCATGAGGTCTAATGAGGCCACAGGGCCATTGCTGGGTGGTGCCTGCTCTGCAGAGATTATATGGGTACACCCCTAGGGCCTGGCAGTTGTCAATCTGCTGAGAGTCTGGATCTTGGGAGTCTCCCTAGGATTTCACTTGCTGGGTCGGGGAGCCAATTCTTCAGTCCTTCTGCTGCCCATGAACCTGCCTGTCCAGGCTTGCTGGGCTTAGTCCCTGGGCTTAGTCACACCTGCCTCTTCAGATTCCTGATGTGCCTAGCTGGTCACATGATCTACCAGATTCAAAGGGGGAAGTGAATTGGGCTCCCCTTCACTTTTCTGACTAGAATCCCCCTTGGTAAAGTTTGCTCTCCACCTGTTTTGCTCTTATTCTGCTCGGCATCGCCTAGGTCAAAGGGCAGGCACTTGCTCGGACCTTGTAGCCATGTTTGCTCAGGTCTTCCAGCTCTTGCAGCAGCATCTGCAATGTGGCAACCTCAGGATGGCTCCTTCTTCAGCTCTCTGTGGCATTTGGGAAACGTGGGCACTTTTCATGTACCAGTGCACAGTCTAGCCCCTGGATCAGCTAAGGACCTGCTCCTTTTCAGATCTCAGGATGTTCCATACTAAATTGGCAACTGGCTTGGCTCCAATGTAGTCTTTCTTCTTAGTTTAATAGACCCAAATTTCTGAGTCTCTAAGATACCCTGGCCAACCAATATGGAGTTTTAATGAAATCCCTCTTTCACCCACCTCACAAAGAAGCAGTACTCCTGCTGCTGGAGTCCCAGGTCACAGAGCAACGAGGAATGCAGGCTTCCTCTAGGCTGCCATCTTGAATCTTGCAGCTGACATAATTTCTTCCTCAAATGTATGTTAGGATTAATTTGGAACTACTCTAGGCCTGGTGCTTTCTGTTTGGGAAGGTTGTTATGATTTATTATTATTTTAGCATCTTAGATAGATGCAGTCCTATTCAATTTGTTCATTTCTTTTTGTGATAGATTTGGCATATTTGCCTTTCAAGAAATCATTCCATTTTATGTAGCTTATTGAGTTTGTGGGCATAGATTTGTTTATGGTATTCCTTTATTTGTCCTTTTGATGTCCATGTGATCTATATCGATGCTATCTCTTTAATTTCGGGTATTGGTGATTTGTGTCTTCTTTTTTTTTCTTTGTTTGCCCACCTAGAGGCTCACTGATTATATTGGTTTATTTTATTCTTAATTGACAAATAATAATCGTGTATTTATAAGTATAACAGAGAACGATTTTCTCTAGTAACAGGGTATCATCAATGTATTGGAACCAGATATCAGTAGGCGATGAGAACAGAACAAGGTCCTGAGCAGCCTTGCTGTGGCACATGAAAGGACTGTGCCGATATCCCAGAGGCTGGACCTGGAATGACCTTGATCCTCTTTGAGTATCTGGACAGATGAGGGGATTGTTCTAGACTG